ACACACACACACACACACACACACACACACACACACACACACACACACACACACACACACATACACAGACATACATACCCCATCCCACACACACACATCGCCGACCAACCTCAAAGACGGCCTCGACGTGATCGTGGGCCGTGTTCTCCTCCACCATCGGCTCCGTGTAGGCGCCGAGCATATCGTAGATCGACGACACGATGTCCAGCATCTCGTCCTTGGTGATGTAGCCATCGTGGTTGATGTCGTACAGGTTGAAAGCCCAGTTGAGTTTCTCGGTGACGGTTCCGCGCGCGAGGACCGACAGTCCGAGGACGAAGTCCTGCGTATAGGCAATAATCGATATGCTCGGCCTGGCTCTCGGATAATCGATATTTGCAGCAATAGCCGCGAGTAGGCGTATATGCTGTCGGCACTGCCGCTCGTCTATTGCCTTGTCGTTATAGAGATGGATTAATAACTATCGGATAGAATATATCGATGATCATACTATAGGATGGTAACGCTTAATGAGGGTGTGATAATCATTGGCTATCCCTATTTGATTGTATACAGTCGCTTCACAATATTGTCACGTAACGATTTTGCCTGGATTTCCATCCATTTTTTAACACAGCCCAATGTCTTGACATGATCATGAGATCGTATTTAATTCACAAGTTTGTCTAAAATAAACGTGTTCTTAATGTAATTAATGTAATTATTATTTTATGATTTGCCCGCGCCATGTTTTGGTGGATATACGGTGTTTAAATTTATTTTAATTATCAGGGGATGAATATGGCCTTGGGCCATTTCTATTTTAAGCCGTCGGCCTACCTCAAAACTTATATGTCCATTGCGATTCTGGTCAAACAGTTGGAACACGTAGTGAGCATATTGACTGGCATCTGAAATAAAATGAAATAGTAGAGTTACACAACATTGCTCATTTTCCATCCGTTCTCTCATTGCGAGCCTAGTTATAAAAAAACACGTTTTAGCTAGTTCAACAAAACAACAATAAAGATGGCGGCTTGTTGGCAAACAGTCAGATGTCTCGCGAGACTTTTTTTTAAACTGAAATTGTGCAGCATCACGTAGAGCATGTGCGCCGCACGGGGAACACATGCGCGAGCGCACGACTTCAGTAACTGCGAGATTTTCTAGCGGCAACTTCAAAGCCGCGCGAAAGGCCAGAGCTAAGAGAAGCCGCGTCTCCCATCACCCGCTCCCGCCTTAATGCGTGACCTTCTCGCACAAGAAGAATCGTCGCGGGAAAGCTATCACATAAAGGAGCTGTGCGCTCGGCGAGCGAGCGAGAGAGAGAGAGAGAGAGACATAAGTAGCCGCGAGCTTCGCGCGTTCACACGAAGGCACGCGGTCGGGCGCAAAGAAAGTCGCAAATTCAAATCGGCCGTCCGCCATTAACGCGACATGCGGTTACGGCGATTTCCGCGCGCCGATGAAGTACTATAGAATCGTCTGCGTCGCCGTCGGCAGAGTCGTCGTGCATGGTAGTGGTGGTGTATGGTATGGTATGTTATGGTATGGTATGGTATGTTATGGTATGGTATGGTATGGTATATGGTATGGTATGGTATGGTATGGTATGGTATGGTATGGTATGGTATGGTATGGTATGGTATGGTATGGTATGGTATGGTATGGTATGGTATGGTATGGTATGGTATGGTATGGTATGGTATGATATGGTATGGTATGGTATGGTATGGTATGGTATGGTATGGTATGGTATGGTATGGTATGGTATGGTACTGGTATGGTATGGTATGGTATGGTATGGTATGGTATGGTA